ACCCTGCTGCCTCTATCAAGTCATGTGAGAGCTCGGAAATCTAAAAATAAATTAAAATAATTAATCCACTGTTTTTTGTTGATAATGCTACGTTTGTGACAAATAGTTGCATCTCATAATTACAGTTTGAAACGGTACGCACACGATACAAGACGTTTTGTTTATTGATTAACTGTACCGGCTTTTATTACAACGGTGAAGTTAAGTACATATTTAATCTTCTGTAAATTGATTTATGCTAACACTTAGATTGATAAACGCTCGTTATTTTTTGAACTCGTTCATTTTTAGTAAACGTTAAATGAAGTTACTGATTTTTTTAATAACATAATTTAACAACATGTTTTGATAACATAATTACAACATAGCAGTTCATACAACTGCTATGTTGTAATTATGTTATCAAAACATCGTTACATCGAAATTAACTTTAATTTTATATCTTGCTACATAATTCATGACGTTTAATGATGAAAATGAAAAATTAAGATGTTATTAGATATTTAGAAGGACAATTTGAAACTGTTTCTCGATAACGGTATTGGATGGAAGTTAAACAGTTGAGCCTGTAAACTTGATCATTAAAATTAAGTTATACGCTGCAGACTTGAGCTCATTAATATAAATCGGTTAATAGTCACATTAAAATGGTAGCATAAATACGTTTATTGCCTACGTGTCCCAAATGTAGACCTTTTTTCGTGTTCATATTAAAGGATATGAATTTAAATTATCTTAGGTTCTCATTGTAGTTAGGCGCGGCGTAGATTTGGGGGGACTTGAAATCACATGGTCCAGGACCTCCTCCGAGTAGAGCGCCTGAGACCGGCCGTTGGTGTGGTTTTTAGTGGAAACACCATATCCCACCACTCCTGGCTCCTATATACCAAAGGAGAAGGAGATCCGTAGTAATTTACCACCTCACTATAGTAAAAGGTACACATGGTAATGGTCACAATTAATCAAATGAAATAGAGTGGGTGTTTCATTGTCTTATTACGATTTTTCTTAATAACTTAGATTAGAATGTATTTGCTTTCTATTTTTGAGTTAACTAGCAGCGAGTCATACTTACATGTATTTTTTCTAAATAGCCATTTAAATATTACTACAACATCACATATTAATACTTTTATTACATACACATACAAGTTATATCTGGTAGTTTTAGTTTCAAACTCGATCATTTCAAATTATAATGAGAATTGTTTCTCATCCCGAAATAGAGAATACTTCCGAAATTATGTTCTACTCATCTTTGTCCTGGGGTTTAATCAATATAAATGAAGTAGTATATGAATAATGAATGTGTCTCAATTTTCGCGACGGTTAAGACCAATTCAAATATCAAATCATCATGAAGTTTTGGCCCTGTAACTATTCAGGGCGCATAGTTTACTTGAAATCAAAACTATATTCAACGTTATGAGAAAAAAAGAAATAAAAGTTAATAAAATAGATTTGAAAATTTATTACACAAGTCTGTCGAAACGTAATCTTGTAGTGTTTAATAAAAATAAATCATAAATTGTACGCCTTACTAATTAAAAGGCGTTTTTATAAAGTATGATATAAATTAATAAACCACGCCCTTTTTTAACATTTCGTGTAACTAGCTACGACTCGCGATTACGTTTCTGTAGAAATAAACTTGACATTATTTATAGCCAAAAAAACATGAAAAACTATTGATTTCTCTCAATTTTTTTTTTTTGATAAAAAACAAATACCTTTCTCCAAGATGCCGTCTATCTTAGTGATTCCCAGGTTTTGTGATTTAGTCGTGAATAATAAAAAGCATAGACAGCTAGACAGAATTACTTTTAAAATGTTCATCATCTATCATCTCAACAACTTACTTAGCACCTATTCCAAATTTAATCGTACTGAATGATAACTTTGTTTATGTTTAATTTTTCATTATTGACAGTGTCTTTATATAAAGCATATGTTTTTTTTTTAAATCATCTTAATCTTTAATGATCTCATAGTACTAATATTGAGATTATTCAAACAAGAAAGAAGAAATATTATTGAAATATTTTGCCAAAAGGCTGAAAAATGACTTAAAGATAATTTAATTTTATATTGCAACGTTTGTTTCTGAGAGCGAGCCTCTATAACTCAATATATTATTAATCCGCCCGCGTTAATGTTAGTTATTGTTAAAAGTATCAAAGTTTTCTCAAGAATCAAAGTATCTTCATACCAAATTTCACCTAAATAGGTTCAGCAATTATTGATTCCCCATACAAACTTCCACCCACCTTTTCACCCCCTTAAAGAATGATTTCTGGGATAAAAACTACCCTATGTCCTTTCCCGGGACGATCCCGAACGATCTCTGTACCATATTTCATCTAAATCGGTTCAGCGGTTTAAGCGTGAAGATGTAACAGACAGACACGCTTTCGCATTTATAGTATGAGTATGGATTTACAGCACGTGGACTAATTGCAATTTTACAAGCTTTAAAGCAATCTATGACTACCAGTGACTAATGATAACAGTGGCAGTTTTTTTTTGTTCGTTAATATAAATAGTCAATAGACCCACAATCACTTTTCTGTAGTGCTATCGCGGTTTTAAAAATCTTTCTCAATATCAAATTAAATTCGCCATACGTACTCGTACAATAAAGAATGATGAACCTAATAGTTTCAATCTTAATCAAAGTTTTAATTCCCAAGCGTACATTCACCTGTTGTTGTTGGTTTTTCTAAACTGATTCTTGATTTGCTGAATGCAAAATAATGGTATTGCATAATTACCTATGTTTAAAAAGACCCTAAAGTAACTTATTACACAAATATATGATAACCGTATATAAGCGGATATAACCGTATATAGGAAACGCATTTTTTTATTTTAATTGCTTAAAACTGCTAAGATTAAAATACATTTCCTTTAGATAATTTCCACAGCAGTATATACCTAGATAATAATTATTAAAAAATCATTATTATTATTATTAATATAAAGATAATTTCACTGATATAGGCATTTCCTTAATTATCTATAGGTACTGTTACTTATTAACTATGTGTTCAATAACTACTTTATCAAATGTTTTAAATATGATATGTTATTATGTGAGTAAACAACAGTCTTGTTTTAGTAAAAAGTAAATGTTATCTTACTAGCAAAAACAAAACACTTGTACTTAGGAGCTGGTCATTACGACTGATCTTCTTATATTTCCAAGAAATGCAGTGCTAATACTGCACAGAACTATAAGTATTACCATTTTTATTTATTATCTCAAAGCTTTGGTATAAATAGCATTTCCAAAAACCACAAAGGTTTATAGTGAATGCTATGAGTAAGTCTATAAAGAGCAGTGTATATGGTTGTCTATAATAAAAAAAAATCTAATCCGATGATTACTAGTCATGAATTTCATTTTCTTTAAAGCAACGTCCAGTGGTTAAACGATCATAATATACGAAGCTTCTCATCTCTTTAGGGCTAACAGTACGCGAGTCAGTAGTAGAGCTTAGCTGATATTTACTGTATTCCTTTAGAATAATTTAAACTCGGACTATCTGAATTTACCTCTGTTACTTTATGGGACAGATTATAATATTCATATAAAATTTGTTGTTGGAGGTTAACGGTAAGTTGAAATGTAAAAATCATATATTAGATAATAACATAAAGAAAGGGTTTACTTAAATCGTCATGTTTAACAATAACATAATCCAATTTATAGCTATGGTATAAGTTACAACCACAGAAGCAGAAAATATAATAAATAACATAAACTTCAGGGCAGAAGTAGGTGGCAAAGCTCTGTAAATAACTAATGGCAACAGCCTTCGGCGGCTGCTGGTTGATTGTATCTGTTGTCGCTCTTCATATCGCGTACGCTGCTGTGATTTAACCGCCACCTGTCGTGGTTTATGTCTCTTGATAACTGCACACGAGGAACTACTTGGGAGTTGGAAACGAGGCGTGACATACTACCTACCAAGTAGAACTTATTTAGTTGGCACCACCATCTCTCTGTAAATATTATACTTGATATTATTCCGCTCGCATTTTTGACGGATTCTTAAAAGATGCTAATGTCATAAGATAATTTTTTTTACAAAAAGGACGAAGTTAAAACCGGCGCCAGTTCATTTCATATAATAAATAATTTGAGATCTTTTTACAGCTTCCAGTTTCCGTGATGGCGCATGTCTACATTGATAAGTATCACAAAATAAGCCTCTTTATACGCTACGCACTCTGATAGCATTATGAGAATTGAAATCTGACTAAAATGAATCATACCGACATACAGTAGTTTTTTGCAGTATCGCTTATTTTGTTTGCTCGTACACTTATCAAATAGAGATAAGGCGCGTATTCAGCAGCTAAATGTGGATACTTTGTAAATGGATTTAGCCATGTAGCCAAAGTAATAAGTTGTGTATTTCTGCGCAACGCACCGCAACTGGAATCACTAATGAGAACGCAATTCAAATCAACTGATTTATAAGGAGTAAGTTATTTCACTGGCTGCGTTTACAGTATTTACTTATATTCTAAAAGGTACAGAGGTGTTGTGATCCATTATTAAAATAAATATGATGCATCGCAGTTTACTCTTTTTTGCATAACTTTATATTATTCTAAATTATTTTTATAACTGCACTACGATTAGGTTGATAAAATATAATTATACTCATTATCGAATAATTCCAGTCGGCAATTATCTTTCTTTCATCCGCAAGTCAAACATTATATTGATTTATTATAAATGGATAATATCCAATTGTGAGCATTGGGAGGTCTATTTAGGGTTAATGTACTACGTATGTCAGTTTATATTAGCTCGTTAAGAGTCGGTTTGCCTTGTCCGGATGATATCGCTTAACCCCTCAATTAGTGTGTGCCCCGACTATCGCGTGGCAATAGTCCTAAATAGTATATAAGCTCCCAACACTCGTGACGGGACGAACAAACCAAATGAGTACTCTTAATTAGCCGTTATACTATAAATTTTAAAAGCGATGATAAGGTCCCGTTGTGCGCTCACCGGGAACACTACCTGCCGGGTAATGGTGTCTTGCAAATTAAATTTAATTAATTCCACTTCGCCAAACGTGCTTGCTATTTTGGACTTTGAAAAAAAATAACTTAGATGCAAAATAAAGCGATTTACTTCAAGAATTCCTGTAACCTTTAACATTTTTTAAATGTAAAAAAAAGTATTTTGTTTCGACAGATTAAATCAGTATATACCTACCTAATAAATCTTATATATACCACTGATTGCTTTTAAATTTGATAAGGTAATTTGATGTACTCAAGGGTCAATCACTGCTCATTATGACATTAGCATCTTTTATTACTGCAATTACTTTTTTCAGCATATCATACCGTTTTAAATATTTTATAATGCTAGCTAAATTTGCAGTACGTGTTGCAATCTGTGTGTCAAAATAAAGAGTCCGTGTAATAACTTTAATGTCATTAATGACTCAACATGTTGTCGCCATCTCAGCAAGAGAGTCTCTTTCCTAGAGACAGTAACGAGGCAATTTCAATTAGTTGGCTGTTTGCCTAATTCTTAAGTAAGTGGCAAAACGTTTACACTATTCCCGTTGTATTTTACTTACATTAGGGAGTGCCGGACGAGTGCAGAGCGTTGTTCACTGCAATATGCGTCTCTAGTCTTTGTTTATGTTTCTATTTACTGGACATAAATGGAATGAAACTTGTTGGCTGTGTTGTCCGATAACGGAACGTTTTGTTTATAATTAAGAACAGCAAAAACAGGTCAGCTGTCCACTCGAGCATTATCATAGAGTTGTGAAGGAGAGCATTTTAACTGTGTCCAGATAATTTAACTACTGTGCTGTCATGCTCAGAATACATTAATGTTATAAATCTGTCACAATGTCAAAATTCCAGTAAGATCGTTTGGTAACTATTAGTTATACATTACTTTCAAATAAACTAAGTAGAAAGCAACAACATACAGAACTCCTATATCGAGAAAGTTTCTAATACAGTTCCTTTTAGCAGTATTCTCGAACTGGGGCGAAAGGGCTCTGGACAGTAACTACTAATTTAATTTAAAATACTCCAATATTTTAGTTTGTTGTTTGTGAACGAACCACCGTAGTAACTGCAAGCGATCTTCTTAGTCAAATTTGAAGTCGGTTGATTTTTTTTTACCATTTCTTACATAACATTTTTAAATAATTGTCTGACAATTGTCTATAGACATTATTATATATATATATATGTTATATATAACAAGAAGAAAATTAATAGTAGTCCCTGAAACGCGAATCCCTGTGACATTAAAACAATTAATGCCTATTAATTTAGAGTAAGTTTTAGATGCAAATTAGGTCTCAGCGAGTTCCTTCATGACATATCTATTTGGTACATTTCAGTTCAATGCAACTGTGTAAAGAGATCACGATGCTATAAAGACAAGACCATAATCGTTGTTCGTGGCGCGCTGGAAGCCACGTGTAAACTTCTGTCGAAGTCGGCTGGTGGCTCGACAGTAGCACCATTTGCATTTTATTACCCAACTCCAATGCTTCATTAATGCATTCTCAGCCATATTTTTTATATCTTTAGACCCTATAATTTTATTTTACTCTTATTGCATGAAGCCAATTAATACAAGCTAATTTAAATTCCATTACCACAACGCGGAGCGCTCGAAACAATAATTACTAACTACACTTTAGTGTTTCATGGGCTATGATAATTTTATCCATAATTTAACAGGAAAATCATAATTTGTTTTTATACTTATTTATTGATTTGTTTCAGCACACGCTGACGGGTCATAGCGGTAAAGTAATGGCGTCTAAATTTCTCGGCGAACCAACCAAAGTCATCACGGGAAGCCACGACAGAACCCTTAAAATATGGGACCTCAGAAGTAAAATGTGTAAGTATGCATAAGTTTACGTTTTGAACTATTCACCATAAGAAGTTGGAATCGTCTCGGTACATATGAACACACATTGATAAGTTGTATCTAAGTCGAAATCTTGTAAAATGCACTGGCTATTTATTTGAACCTTGACAAACCTATATAACGTCGATGGTGCTTGAAATATGATTATATGGAACTATTTTTGTGAATAAAAATTAAAAATTCTTAGTTTTACTCCTTAACTTGGTAATATTATTCTATGTTTCTGATGTAAAAGAACTTATAAATGATATTTGCAAGTACTGTTTGTCTGATGTTTTAGAGTTTACTGCGTTTGCTCATAAGAAAAATGGAATATCATTTATTGCCTCTGTTTGAAAACAGCTTTACCTATTTAGGACTTCATGTTTTGTTATAATCTACTGGTCAAATTACACCGTTACATTATATTTTAACGGTATACCCATACCTGTTTATCGCTTTCATTTAGAACATTCTTACATAAAATTCTGATTCACATTGTATGCGAAATAAAACCCGAACATAACGTTTTGATTGATTGTATATTTACTTTCTCCTTTGAATTTGTGCCGATAAGGAAATTTATACTAACAGTTTACATTAAATTGTACGAGTATTGTATCGTAAATAATAATATTGGGAACAGCATTATAATATTATAAAATTAAATGAAACATGTTTATAGTAGGAAATGAGGCTAAGTAGGATACTATTACTGGCAATAATTCTGGTTGTCATTAATTTAGCATTTATATGAAAATTTATATTTATAGTAGTTAGTGTGCAATACATGTAAATTAATGGTTAACGTTAATTAATTATAAAAGCAGTAAAGCATGCAGTGCCTCCGCAAAGTGGAGTAAAACACAAATTGAGGATATTTGCCACACCTACCTCCTCTATAGTTTGGAAAAGGTAAATCTAAAAGTATGATTTCTAACTACCAGAAACATATAATAAAACTAGGTATGTAGCACATAGTGAATTTGTACTGTAAAAAATATAAATTAAATCTATAATTCTATAGTAAAACTGAAATCTATAATTCTATGGTACTTCTAGCAGATACATAAATAAAATTATCAATGCAAGTACTGCTTAGCCTATATAGCAAATGTAAGTATGAAAACCCACGTCTAATTTTTTTTAATAAATTGCAGTGTTACCTAAAATCCTACAAATTGCTTCTTTCTGTTATCTTCAAAAATTTGCATTTTCTCTCTAAATAGCGGCAGTAAATTTATTTTCCATATGCAAGCGTAACTTATAAGTAGTGGGCTCATTACTCAAAGCGTATCTAGGAACGATTTGTTTTCTCATGGGATACCAAGGTATTGCACCTTAAGTGGTGTTTTACTTATCATTAGTAATGAGTTTAAATCATTGTGATTACCACACAAGTCTGTGAATACATTTTGTTTAAATTTTGACGACCGAATGGCGTAGTGGTTTGTGTAACGGACTGCTATTCCAAAGGTCGCGGGTTCGATTCCCGCTCAAGTCAAGCATTTGTGTGCATGAACATTTAATGTTTGATTTGGTCTGGGTGTTTCTATGTATAATATGTATGTATTTACAAAAAAAAAAAAAGTATATATGTATTTATATCAGTTGTCTAGTACCCATAGTACAAGCTTTGCTTAGTTTGGGACTAGATGGCGTTGTGTGATTGTGGTAGAATATTATAATAAATTATATTATTATTTTTTTTGTGTGAAAATACCTGTTGACGGTGATCTAATGTATAATTACATTACATAATTGATAAGTACAACCATATCCACTACACTACAACTTGAAGAAAATGGTTCAAAGAACAAATAAGCGGACACAAACTGTCTTTATTGTTAAGGTACAGCGTCTTAAACTTTTTATCATAAATATGTTGCAGCTACTGAGCCTTGATACTTTTATTGCTGAAATTGTATTGCAACAAGCACGGATAGCACCAAATATTTACGCGATCGATTGTATTACAAATGGGGCGAGGAACATTGCATTTTAGTACATCCCGTACCCATATATTTTGTCTAAGACTAATTGGCACATACTACGCTAATTTATATTTCCCTTTATTCTCGAATTGAATACACTAAACGGATATCGTTAAGTTGATTTATACTATTGTTACGTAATAAATACGGTACAAGTGTCCATAAACCCAATGTTAAATCTGAACTGATTTCCAATTGATGTTTTTTAAACCAATGAACATCAGTTTATTAACATTTAATGCTCGTACATATTATATTATATCTCTGCCAATTAGACTTGATGACACACTTCGGATTCTCGGCACAAAAAGTTCTATCGCGTTTATCGCTACATCTGACAATTTTCGATTTTCACTCAAAGGCTTATTTTATTCTGTCGTCATTCATTAATTTTGCATTGACAAAAAAAGTCAAGACTTTTTTAAATATTATGCTTATTTTAATTAAAATAATAGATTTAATTTTTTTAGAAATAAATTAGTTCTTTTAAAAAAAAGCAGAATTTTTCCTATACAATAAAATTTATAAAAAAATATGTATAATACAAGTATTATACATATTTTTTTATAAATTTTATGTTTATTATATTATTATTATTTTATTATTATTATTATATATTATTATTATATATTTATTATTATATATTATATATTTTATATATTATTATTATATTATTATTATTATTATATTATTATTATATATATTATTATTTTATTATACATATTTTATGTTTATGACAGACAAGTCTGTCATAAACAATTTAAAATGTTTATAAACAATAAATGATGTTAACAGGTTTTTTCCTATTAATTACCGTAATACAAAACTAGCTGTATACATTTGTCAATAAAATAAATTTAACTAATTTTTTTAAATATTTCATTTTTTATTAATTTAAAAGAATAATAGCAAAGAAAATATAATTTATTTCACAATTTTAGGTAGCAACACCGGCTGAGTTAACAAGTGATTTTATTTATTATTTATTAAAACTCGTTAAAAGTGTATTAAGTATGTTTTAAGTGAATTTCAAAATTTCAAATTACTAATAAATGTAAAGAATAAGTGTTAATACCACTGTACTGTTGTTATCTCAGTGAAGTAGTTATAATAAGTGGGAAAAACTTTGCATAAAAAACGGTGCCAAAATTTTTAACATTTTGTTGTTACGATTGTACCAGTTTTTAAAATTACATTTTGATACAACAAAAAGGCCTAAAACTCCAATAAAACTGTTCTAACTGCAATTAAACTATCTTACGTTGTTATGTAAACATCAATGACACCGTTGTTAAAACTACGGTGGTTTTAGCAGAAAAAATAAAAATTAATAGTCAGTTACGAGGAAAAAAATAATAATTTTGAATTCGAATCATTGACATCCACCATCGTAAAGTTGCCACTGACGCCGCCGAAATTCCTGCTATAAGCTAACCTTAGACAATTTAAACCCCCCGTTACACTATATAATTTCACTTTATTGATTAAATGGAAAAATCTCAATGTTGTCAGAACTAAAAAATAGTGTCAAATAAGGGTAATACATTTTATACATATATTTATAAAACTTTTTACAAAACTTTAACATAGAGGGCGCCTAACGATGGAAGACTTATCGTCGTCGTTTAAAAAAGTGTAAATCGCTAGACAAAATTGATATGAGCATCTCCATTAACTCTCTTATTCAACCCATTCAGATGAATTTTTGAGCAGAAGACTAGACGTTTCTTCACATATTATGCCGCATGGCATACAGCATTATGCCGAGATGAACTGGACACCGAAATAAATAAATTAAAGGTAGACTTACAATCTACACAAAATTAATTAGAAAATGTCATTCTCAAAAATGTAGAACCAAAAAAAAACAAATTGCCCCAGTATCCCAGGAAGTAGAAATCTTAAAACAGATTTGCCGAATTCCACGAACAATTTTACGTCAGTCAACAATGCAGAGAGAGACATTTAGAACCTCTCTGTCCGTATATCAAAGCTCACGTAGTGATGAGAAACTGCCTACGCACACTCATTCACTCAGTCACCCAACAACAAGGAGAAAAACAAAATTCATCACAAAGTAAAATAGCTTCAACAGAAGAGGGTTGTACAGAGAAATGTGGTACAGTATCAGTGGCTAATCCACAGTGCAGACAATTATTTGAACGCAGTATAGAGATCCCATGTGCTTAAATATCATCATATACACTACTGAATGAAACTGATAACCAACTTTTGCGAAATTCTGAGGTCTCCAATGCAGCTGCTCCAAAAATTATCATATTAGGTGACCAACAAGTACGAGGGCTTGCCAGTAAAATAAAGTTACAAAGGGATGCAAATGTGGAATAATGTTTATTCTGTATTAGGTGTTTCAAAATCAAACGCAACCAGTACACGATAAAATAGACGATTACACAAAAACCTTGCACAAGGATGATATAGTGATAGTGGGTATAGGAAGCAACGACAAAACCCGTACAAATTTCTATCAGAGTTGATGCCAACCCTTCATAAACTCAGAAACGTTAAAGTTTATATATTTATAATAAATATTATTCATAATTCTTATTTAAATGTTAATTTATTTAATCTAAAAATAAAAATATTTTTGCTATTTTTTTCTGACAGTAAGTTCATTGATACAATATACTGACATAATAACTATAACTAAATGTAATGTAATTTAGCGGGGCTAGTAGTTTCAAATCATCCATATAAAGAAGATGAGATATAACTTGATCATCTTTCTGCAACCTAAAGCCTAACCCTGAACCCTCTAATAGGGTGCTAAGAGGGTTTAAATCCAGACAAAACCACAAGGGATTCAGACTATCACCTTGAAATATACCCCGCTCAATCTTTATTAGTACATCGTTTACCGCAGTCTGCCGACATCCTGGATAGCGAGTTGCTGTTCTCCATTGCCCCATACATGACTTCAAGAAAATGCACAGAGTTGTATCAATTTTATACAACTCCAGCACCCTCAAAAGCCAT